ATATATATAATTGACTTCTACCTCCTTCATTTCACCATTCAATCCATCATCATCATCAAATCAATCAATCTTTATTCACTCCCAGACCAGAAAACACAATTAAATTCTGCACAGGAAGCAGTGAGGGCATTGAATGTGACGCTAGAGCTGTGTTCAAGAGCTACTCGTGGGTTTTCCTTCTCATTGACTCAGCCCTCCTTCCCCTGAACACAGGATACTCTCTTTAGGACAGGAAGCAGGAGAAATAGCTGAAGATGCTACAGCGTTAAGAAGGAAAGAGAAGGGAAAACAGATGGCTTTTAAAAGTAGGAATTGCAAACTTAGTCATAGGTCTTTTGTATCCTGCAGCTGGGAGGGGGAACATTTCAGTCTGGTGACATACAACAGACATAGCTGCGCACAACCCTTCATGCAGCCTTTCCTAATTTGGACAACCTGCAGATTTCAGTTCTTAGTAACCTCAAGAAGGATCACGTTATCTGGTGAATTCTGGAAGGTGGAGTCATACATCAGGAAGGCACCGTCTTGAGGAGGACGGCTCTAATTCAACCATAACGTCTATTTCCTGCGGAGGAAACTGAGATTAGACAGCAGGGCTTCTTCCACAGGCTTCAGATTCAAAGGGAAACAATTGGAGTAATACCTGTCAGCCGCTTCTTTAAACAGCTGCTGATTTTTCCTAGGACCGGACAAGGGCCTTCCGTGACTGTAGTACAGAGGGGAGGGAGAAGAGGAGGAATTGGTTTAAGGAGTTCCCAAAGCACCTTCTTTCCTTTAAGTTAAGAGTACCGTACTCCACAGGGCTATTTTGCAGTCAGGCAAACGGGCTGAGCTGAATATAGTGTTGACGTATCTTGGAGAGGCATCACACGTTAGTAAAGCACACACCTCTGACACAGAGGGTCTCAAGCTGAATCCCTGGCATCTTCAGGTAGGGCTGGAGGAATTGTTACCTGTAATCCTGCAGTGCTACAGGTACTTATGGCATCTTTCAAATGAGGATCAAAACCTGACTTTGTTTGGCTTTGTGCATTCTTGGTGTTTTTAGTCTGCATCAGGGGTGGGGGGCTGCTGGGGGTTCGCAGGGGTTTGGGAGAACCTCTAGCTAAGATTCTGTGCCATTCGCTGAACCCCCAAATCCCACTCCTGGCTGGCCCCACCCATCCTGCCCCTCCCCTCCCAGGAGTCCCCACATAGCCCGTTTTGGATGCAGGTAAGTGGAGGGCGTGTGCGGAGGCCCTAGGGAGGGCAAAAAAAGGGCTATCAGGAAGGCCAGAAACGGGCCTCTTTCAACCCCTCAGAGGGTCTCCGGAGCCCATCTTCGCCCTCCCAGAGGCTTGAGGAAAGCGTCCAGAGCCCAGGGAGGGGAAAAACACCCCCTACCATGGTGCAGGAGGCTGACTAGGCCACGCCCACGCAGCAACCCGGCAGAGAACCCCTTGCTAAAACTTTTGAAGCCCACCCCTGGTCTGCATGTGGCAATGTTCTGCCTTGCTCTGTCCTCCAGGTATGCTGCTCCATTGCTGCAGGGCATTCTGCCCAGCTTAGAAAGTTTTAGAGGGTTTTGTCCACGTGCTGCAATTTATTTCTGATTTAAAGCAGGAAGAGAAGCAAGAGGCTGCACAGTAATGCATTGCAAAATCCCAGCCTTCTGTAAAATTTCTAGCTCAAGATTAAATTGATATAGAAATGGTATTCCTCTGGGAATGAAGATAAAAGCCTTGTTTCCTTTCCCTGGTAATGCAGTATAAACCTTTTTTTTTTTTAAGGATAAATTTTGAGAGATGTATTCATTGACTATTTCCTTCCAAATAAGGTTTGGGTATAACTGTCATTTTATGAAGCTAATGTGAGAAATAAAGAAGGTTAAAGAGGGAAGAGTTTGTGTTTGTAACCAGGATATAGTGTAGATCAGGGGTGTCAAACTCACATCGTCATAGTGGCATCACTTGACGTATTGAGACTTCCCCCCCCCTTCCTTAAACCGGGGGTGGGTGTGGCCAGCGCCCGATACATCTGCCCCGCGGACTGCAAGTTTAACAGCCCTGTTGTAGATTAAACTGGCCTTTCTCAACAAATCTTATTAACGTGATAGTACATTGGATAGGTACCAAGAGCTTATCTTTAAAACCCTTTAACGACCTTTCTTTAATTTCAGTTCTGTACAGAGATTTTGCTCTTTTCTTTTGAAGGAAGTTTTTTTTTTCATGCTACGGTGACTCTTGAAAGAAATATCCTGGACTCAATCCCCTTTGAAGTAATAAATGCTATAAGTGCTTGTCTTAAAATTTGCTCTGAGTGAAGCTAGTAACATATTCTGGATTGCTTCTGTCCTGAAATTGCCAGGAATTGAAGAATAACTAAAACAAGTGATTATACATCATGCCTGAACCTTGGCATGCAGATGGAAATAAGTTTGTCCTCCAGGCATTTTCTTTATTGGAAGAACAAAGAATGTATGGGGGGGGGGGAGAGAGAGAAGATCCCTGATTATTTCCAGGATTTGGAGATACCATTATCTGGAAAATATGTTGGTGCATTCCAGATTTTCTTGCCAAAAGAAAGATTTGTTTATTGATATTTATTGTTACTCTTACACTGATAGCAATGTCTAAAAATACTCATTCGTTTCATGTAGGGAAAAAAACATCTTTGGTAGATAAACTCTGGGAAGAGTGGGAGAGGGGCAGGGCATCCTTCTTAGCCCTTACTGACCTCTTGGTAGTTTTTGATATCTGTTGGGGCCAGCTGTAAGATTTGGGACTGGATGGGCAGTTTTGTGCGGGTTTGGCTCCTTTCTTTGAGGCTAGTCCCAGTTAGTACATTTAGGGAGCAAGGAGTCCACGCCATGACTGGTGCTTTGTAATGAGCCACAGGGCTCAGTCCTTTTGCTCATTTTTAACATCTACATGAAGCCACTAGGTGAGGTCATATGACAACACAGAATGAGCTACCATCAACTCCGCATCTCCATCCCAGGTGATTCAAGTGTTGCGGTAGCTGCCTTTTCGCTGTGCCTGGAGGCTTGGGGGGAGGATGTCTAACCCTAATCCCAACAGGCCTCAGCTTGAGCCGTGGGAAGATGGAGTGGTTGTGGATCCATGGAGTTTATCCCCTTTGGTCTTTGATAGGGTTGCTGCACTCCCTGGGGTTTCTCACAACTCCTACTCAAAGAGCAGGTGGCAGTCATGTCCAGGAGAGCCTTCACTTAATTTTGTGTTGTCTGTCAGTTGCGCCATTTCCTAGGTCATGAGGCCCTGCACTTAGTCATTCATGTTTTGGTCATCTCTTGTTGGATTATTGTAAGGAACTCTGCATGGGGCTATCCTTGAAGCCACAGCTGGTATACAGTGCAGCTGTGCCGATGCTTCTGGAGGCTTCTGGGGTGGTGCATTTAACACCAATGTTATATGAGCTGCACTGGTTGCTGTTTGTTTCCTGGACCAATTCAAGGTGTTGGTTATTAGAAAACCTTTTGTGCAATTGGACTAGGTAATTTGAGGAATGGTCTTGCCCCACTGGGTTTGGCCCCTTCCATCCAGTCAAGGAATTGAGTTATGGAGCTTGAGGAGAAGAGCTTTGTCTGCCATGGCTCCTGCCCTCTGGGAAATCTTGCAGCCAGAGGTGTGAGTCCTTTGCAGCCTTCTGGAAAGTCCTTAAAACCAGGCTGTGCCAGTGACTTGGGGCCTGGATGATGGATTGCTATGCTAGTTGGTTGAGTAAGAGAGAAAAACCCACCCGCTTACTGTCTGTGATCTAGTTTCTCAACCTTTATTTTAATGGTTAATTTTAATGCTTTTAATTTTTTATCTTTATGTTTTTATGCCATTGTAAGCTGCCCAGAGTCAGTTTGGATAGTGAGATGGGGCAGGGGGGAATATAAATTTTGTAAATAATTAAATGTAATTCTTAACTTTGTTTCTTCCATTTTTTTTTTTTTTGTTTTGGAACAGGGCATACGGAAGAAAAATAGAATAATCTGGAATTCCAGATAATTTTTTTTTGTCATATCACACTCCCCCTCCCTTTGGCTTTAATTAGAGAGAAAAGCCATCGAAAAGGATGTAATACAGTTATTACACAGTGTTTATTTTCAACTTGTTGAAATGTTAACCATAAAAGATATGACAGTAATCAAGGAATTTTTTTCTCCTTTCCCTAACAGAGATCTTCGGTTCAATCGAATTAAAGAAATCCAACCTGGTGCATTTAGAAGGCTTAAAAATTTGAACACATTGTAAGTTTTATTCTTCTTACAACTTTTTTTTTGCTTTTGTAAGCTGTTAATCATTTTTAATTGTATCTCCATTTGTATTTTGTCTCATTAAGACTTGTAACACTTGTTTCAACGTCCATTAAGTTTTCCTTTCCATAGATTTCTGACTAGAGTTTTAAAGATTTTAAATTTAATCCGTGTTTTGTGTAATCCACATGGAAGAACATAAGAAATCTGGCCGTCTGTAATTTTTGTTGACTTCCATATAAATTTATCTAATTTGCAATCATGTAAAAGAATTGACAGCCACTGGTCCACCAACAGATATGCTAGGGATCCACCATAATCTATCAATCTCTTAGCACTTTTACCTAAACCAAAAACTGCAATATATTTTTGAATATTTTTAATTTTTGAAAATATTAATGTAGTGTTTCCACATAGGCTTTTCTAAAGATAGCAGAAATAGTTTATATTCTCATTCCTATTGTTAGTTCCATAAAGACGTATCAGAACTTGCTCATCTAATTCATAATACAGGTAATCCTCACCTTCCAAAATTCATTTAGTGACTGATCAAAGTTACAATGACACTGAAAAAAGTGAGTTATGACAATTTTTCACACTTACAGCCATTGCAGCATCCCCAGGGTCTCGTGACCAACATTCGGACACTTGGCAACTGACTCAGATTCATGAGGGTTGCAGGGTCTTTGGGGGGGGGGTGATGTGATGACATTTTGTAAACTTCTGACAAGCAAAGTCAATGAGAAATACCAGATCCACTTAACAATGATGTTAACTGATTTAACAACTGCAATGATTCACTTAACAGCTGTGGCAAGAAAAGTCATACAATGGGGCAAAACTCATTCAACAGGTGTCTCACTTAGCAACAGAAATTTTGGGCTCAATTGTGGCCATAAGTCGAGGACTACAGTATTGATAGATATTATTTCAGCTTTCCCTCTCCGCTGTCCTCCAGATTTGTTGGGCCAGCAACTATTTCAGCCACAGTAAGCAATATTAATAGAAATCACCATGGCCAAAATAGAAAGCATATTTAAATTAATCCAACCAAATGGTTACTAATAAAGTGAGCAAGCTTTTCAATTTTCCGATATTCCCATCAGATGATAATAATATTCAGAGAGCAATAGTAGTAATTTTGCCATTGAATGTAACAGCATACTTTGAATGTTGCATCTACTCTAGTTATCTTTCTGAAAAAGAGGTGTCGAGATTGATATTTTGGAATAAAGCATCTGGTCCATATTTCTTTTTTTCAATACATCATTTTAAGAAAATCCTGTTATTGTTATTTTGTAATTAATTATTATAGTTCTTCAGTGGAAAAAATGCCTCTTTTTGTTTTCTATCCTAGACTCCTCAACAATAATCATATTAAAAGAATACCAACTGGAGCATTTGAGGACCTTGAAAATCTAAAATATCTGTAAGTGCAAACATTCTCAGAGATATGTTGATATAAAACGTTTTTTTGTGCACTGGGTCTGTGCAGGTTGACTATTGTTTGCTTAATGAAGGATTCTTTGGTTTCTTTCAAGCTTCCTCTTAGTCTTTGCTGTAGCCAGACGTACTAGAGGTGGCAACCTCTTCTTAGCACTTCTAAATGTTTTCCCAAGCTCTGTGTAAGAGCTGTGTACATCCAGAAGTCTCTTGGCTTTTGAAACTTATTGGGATGCTGAGGATGGTTTGCAAAGCAATTCTTCTTCACTTTTAGTCGAACCATCTATGCTGTTTTGTGAATTAGCTTCAAGGAAGAAGTTGACCCAAATCTTCACAAAAGCAAAATGCACCTCAGAATTTCCACAGGCCAATTAAACAGTGTGAAAACTCCAAAGAGCTTTAGATGACAAAAAAGGGCTAGGATTATTATAGACTTTTCTTAATTTTTCTGTGGATTTTTCTATTAATAAAGATTAATATTTAGGATTATTTCTTAAGGCCTTAAAATAATGTTTGTAGCATAGTATTTTCAAAGCATCGTAAAGGCTTAATTTACATCGTAGTAAAAAGTAATAGTTAAGTGAATATATTAATATTAATGTTAGCATGATATCATAGCAACCCCAAACTATGTTATGTGAGTTTCTGAGTTTTCCATTTATGGTTTTTAAGTGAGGGTGTGAGAGTAGTTTATTCTCCTTCAATGATATCATTGCAAAGACAAAAATTAGACATCGGCTCCATGCCCAGAATATATGAAGGAAAACGAATCTTATATTTGAATGTAAATAAAATTATTTGCATGATGAGGGACCCTAAGAAAGAAGTAAGCAGTAAATTGGATAAAACTTCCCGTTAGATCTCCCTGCTCAACCTGGGAGAGCTGGGAATGAATCAGTTGGGTGGATGTCTCTGTGGGAAGTAGATTCTTCAGAAATGAAAGGCCTGCATAAAAGTTCTTGTCTATGGTTATATAAAAACTAGTAAACGCAGGTTTCCAAGTATTCAGCAGAAGTTAGAGCATGGGAAAAGGAGAAGGAAGCTTGATTTATGACTAAAGGAGAAATCCTGGAATTAGTATGCTTAAATTAAATGAATGGCTGGGTGAAGGAGCTTTAGCGAATTCGAAGATTGCTCAGCCCCCTCCCCAGGAAAATAGGAATGCTGTCCTGTATAAAGAAGATGGGTTCCAATGTGCTATTTCTGCTGATTAACCCTCTCAGAACCTGAATACTTCTGTGGTGGCCTGAGCAAGATTTTCAGGATTTTTCCTGTTAATTCTTTCCCTACAATTTTGGTAACTTGTCTGCATCATTTGTCTATAGTCTACTCTTCCTTCTATTTTCAAAGGTGGCTTGTTTAAATATGAGCTGGTTAATAACCTCCTTACACAGACACACTGATTTTGTTACCTGTATCACATTTGTCTGGATAGCTTGCAGTTCCACATTTTAAATAAACTTCCATTTATCTTGAATTTCATTCTCCTTGAATACTTTATATCTGTTGGACTAGGAAAAAATCATTAATATCTCAGCTTTTTTATTTTCTTAATATCCTAAATCTTAAGGTGAAATGTTCACTTCAGACAAAAGTCTCCACTCCTTTCCAACCAATTATTTCATATTAGCGAAAGAAATTTTGTGATAGCTGATCTTCCAGTTTATTGGCCCACCTGCAAAAAGGTGAATTTGTTAGCAGATCAAATGAGAAATTTACTAGCTCCTCTATATTTTCAACAGAATAATGGAAATCTGTTGTGTTTATCATGCTTTCTCATTGCAGAAATTGGTAATCTGACCTTGGAAAGTATAATACTAATCTTCTGTCTAGTATGGTACTCTATGGCAAATGCATAGAATTATATAGCAATTATTATTTCCTGTTCCTTTTATTTTCTTACAAATGTACTTTCTTACTCTGATGTGACTTGGTGTACTATCATGGATATGGTTCTGAATATACGTGCATTTACAAAGGATATTCAAAATGAGTACTTTTTTTTCTTTTCAACATCTGATTGTGTTGATAACGATGTATCATACTTTCTGTGCCATCTCTTAGAAGCAGATGACCACATCTCTTCATTGGGGTGCTTCAAGTCCATTTCTGTAGAACATTAATTGGAATAAAATGGCTCTTGGGACTCCACTCATGTATCCACTCCTATTACTGTACCTAGTTTATATTTTTGTAAGAAAATATAGTAAGAAGTGAATTACCGATTGACCAAAAAAACTGTGTAATGGTAAATTGGCTAGATAATTTCACAATTGGTTCAATAACCTCTTCCATAGAATAGTAATAGATCAGCAGCATCTTGGAGAGAAATATCAAGTGAAGTACCATATGGCTCTGTCTGGGCACTCTTCAGTTCCATACTTTTATAAATTACTTAGCGAGTTTGGAACTCTGCTATCAAATCTGCAGAGTTAATACAGTTCCAAAGCTAGGAGTGGTGGCTAATACTTCAGAGGAGAGAAAATTTAAATGTAGATGTACAACATTAGACTGAAAAGAATATGATCGAATTTAACAAGGAGAAATATCCCGTTGTGTTTCCTGGGTAGTAAAAATAGAAGACGTAAGTGGAGAATGGGGAAAACAAAGTTTGTCAGGGTATAGAAAGAGATCCGGATGTCCTTGTAAGACCGTAAGTTAAATAAGAGATTTAGATTTACTTTATTTGTATGCCGCCCTTTTCCCTGAGGGGACTCAGGGAAGCTCACAATTCAAGGGAGGGGAAAAACAGACAAGTTACAAACATGAAAACCATACACCGTTAAAAAAAAAAACACAACAGTCATACCATTCGAGTGGGGTTGCAAGTCTTTAGCCCCAGGCCTGTCGGAACAGCCAGGTTTTAAGGGCTTTGGGGAAGGCCTGGAGGGTGGTGAGGGTT